AGACCCTTGTGTTTTTGGAGTGAAGGGAACCATTGAGGTGACTCTTGCAGGCAGGAAATGTGCCCACCTGAGGTTAGGGTCCCAGCTGTGTGCAGCAGTGGCCCCACCGCTCCTCCTTGGACTTGCTGGCCTGAGATTGCTGTGCTGGGAGGTTGGCAGGTTGGCAGCAGCTGCGCTGTGCACACCTGGAGAGCCACTGCCAAGCTCTTGGCCCTCCCCGAGGCTGCCTCCCACCTCCGTCTCACTACAGAGCCGCCTTCCCTCCGCCTCTCTCTCCAGCTCAGGTGTGGCTGTGCCCCTGGCCGCTGCTGCCCAGGCCCCCTGTGGTTCCTCGCTCCCCTCTCCCAGGCGGCTGCCTAGGCCCTGGGGGGGGGGTGAAACTGCCCCCAGTTGAGCATCTTCACTGGGTGCTTACCATTGCGTGGAGCCTCTAGGTGTCACGCTGGCGGGGTGACTGCGGACTGTTTACCTGAGTGCTCCCTCCCTTCCACCCCAATCAGCGTATGCTCAGGGAGCAGTTAGAAATGGATCTAAATAAAATGTCTTTTCGATACTTCCATTGGAAAATAATGAAGAAGTGGGTCATACCTTAAAAAAAGGGGTGTGGGGATGCTGGTCTTACTGCTGCTGGCTTTGGGAGCTCCGCGGGTGACAGCTGTTGCCTCGTGAGTGATCAGACCTAGTGGAATGAGCGGCTGGGGATCCCTTTCACTCTGGGGCAGCCTGGGCCAGGCCTGCCTTTGTTCCCTCAGACCATTGCTTACTAGGGTCTGCTGCAGAGTTACAACACTTAAAAATTCACAAGCTTCATTTTCAGCAAATAAAAACAAATTAGTGTTTAGGCTTATAAATCCACTTTGCTAGATTTTTGGTGTAGTTTTGATTTTAAAATCCAGGGTTTTGTTAATGATGTAAGATGTACACCATCTTTGCAGATAGCATTTTTAAAAAGCTGACAGACCTTCAGCTGAAGCTAAATACAGAATTATATCTGTGTACCTCTTGATGAGATATTAACAAAAGAATTAAGATTTAGGAGTCCAGATTTTTTGGAAGTTCTTATTTAAAACATTGGGAGGTTAAATTATGTGAGTTTAAAATACCTTCTAATGCAAAACTATGAAATTCTGAGATCTTGAGGGTTTTTAGTTGAGTAAAGAAGGAAGGTGCAATTTGTTTAATCCCACTCAAGATATAGGGTGTTCAGTTCCCCTTTTGGGCTTTTTCCAGTTCTACCCTAATGCACAGGTGACCCTCCCAAGTGCACTGATGTCGTGCTGTGGACACTCGGGTGTCCGCTCTGCCCAGACCACTGGCAGAGAGCCTTAGAGTGAGTGGACAGAATAAAATTGCCTCCTTCCTAGCATGAGCCGACGAACTGATGGTGGGCTCAGAAACGTACAAACAGTTCTGCAGGTGGGACGAGCTGAGAGCCAGGAAGAGTGAGTTCACCAGACGGGAGAAACGTGGGCATTTGAAGCCAAAGGTTGATCCATAGCACTGCAATAAACCAGCAGTTTTCAACCTTTTCATCTCATGGCACACAAACAAATTACTAAAATTCTGCGGCACACCAAAAAAATTTTTTTTTGCCCATTTGACAATAGGTATAATTTTGGTTCATTCGCACCAGACTGCTATTGTGTTGGGTGTTGTCACTTTTTTATTTGACAATCTGAGGAGGAAGAGGTCAGTGCCCCTGACTAAATAGTCAGGTAATGCATGCTTTAAAAATTATTTTGGCACAACAGTTGAAATTGCTGTAACAGCGATGTGTGCATTCATAAGAAAGTAATGTCACTACATTTAATTAAACAGTACCAAAAAAATGTCACAGGCAAAAGTTCCCTGATATAAATGGGCTGCCTAAGCTGAGCATCCTGCCAGGCATCCTGCTGGACCACACAGACTGGTGTCTGGGCAGATGTGCCAGAGGCGGCCTGCTCCCGTCGAGCTTCCACACTGGAAGGAGGTAATGAGCTGTAGCCTAAATATGGACGAACCTTGTGTTTGTGTAATGTCCTAAAGGAGAGTCATAGCTTACATCTAATCTGGTGGTCTTTTTGCTGTGAAAAGTATTTATTTTGCCTTCAGTATATTTGCTTGACTTAGCCACTTGGAACAAAGGAAACACACACAGAAAAACCCCTCTGAACTCATATTTTTGCTGCATTTGTAAATTCTGATTGTGAAGTCAGGAATGAGGACTTTTGGAAACGGGAAATTTCTGTGCCTTTAGAACATCGTGCCT